CACACACACACACACACACACACACACACACACACACACACCTATACACACACACACACACACACACACACACACAGCTATAACAAAGGGAAGATGAGCACAATCAGCAGCAGACGTTGAAATTGAACCCTGCAGCGTGTTGAACAAATAAAATAAAATGTGTGTCTCTGCTCACACCACTGTAGGAAACTAGTTCCACGAGGATTCAAAGAGCTGAGAGTGAAAGGACAAAAACACACCTGCAGTTGTTCTAGTGAACAGAACCGTGAAGGAGTCAGGTGAGTTCTGTTGATGGTCTGTCAGTTTCTAGAAGCTGCCAGTAGGAGGCAGCAGAGCTCCGGCTGATCTCTGCTCTCCAGTGGACGTAAGACCAGAGGACACACACATGCATGGATGCACTTTCTAATGTGACGCCGTCACACAGCAGCTCAGACCAGAGGCTTCTGTCTGACTGCAGAGTTAAAGCAGCTGTGGCAGGTTTCCCTTTTTATCATTACAATGAATCATCTTGAACTAAACTGTAACTTCCCCTCAGTTCTCTGAAGCTTTGCAGAGTTTCAGCTCTCACATGGTGCCATCTTCAGCCCGCTGTGCATCACCTGCTCAGCATCAAAGCACCAGCGAACACCGATAGAGAGGAGCTGAGGGAAACGTCAGCCACTAAAAAGACAAATATTTCTCTCAGGAGCAGGAAGAGACCAAACCAGAGCTACCAGAGAGCGAACACAGGAGTGCACCGTGCACTGCAAGAGTCAGTATCAGCATCCTCCCTTGGTGTTCAGAGAGCCAGCTGGGAGTTCATCATGTTGTTAATAAGGACAGAGGGGTCATTAGGGGTCGTTAGGTAATAGATTGGTTCCTCTGTTCGGCTTCGTGGGTCTCATGTGCTCAGGAACATGGACAGAAGTGGGAATTCTAACAGATAAAGTGCCAGATGTGTATCTAGGAGTAGTTAGTGACCAGAACCAGAGCTGACAGAATCCAGGTGGTGATAAACACACCTCCAATAAGTTATCACGTTGATGCGTCGCTGTTGGACACGTAAATAACTGTTCACTTGGCATGGACTTGTACTTATCAGTGTTCCTATCATTTGTTTCTGCATCGCATGAAATCTGTTTAGTTGTTTGCACACAAATAATTACTGACTTCCACCACTGAACCTTGCACTGCAGGAATTAGCCTGTTAGCTTAGCTTGCAATCGGCTGCTGTAGCTCTGAGTCCATGTAAATGATTGCAAGTTGGGTCGACTTGTTTATGAGGCACAAAACTGACTTTGAGATCAGTTGGTTTCACTGTTGTGTCTGTTCGTAGGTCTGATGTGCACAGGAACATGTTTGTAGCAGCTGAAGAGTCAGATATGCATCTTAGGAGCTGTTCTCAGGCTCAGATGGAGCAAAAAGGAGACAGAATGTTGGATTTACATGAGTCAGATAAACACAAACACCAGTGGACTGTGTTGTTGTTGCTTTGGGCCAAATGGAGACAACGTGTTCACAAAACAGCAGCACGAGGTGATGATGTGGACTTCTGTCTGTCTGCTCACTCAGGAGCTACTCGGCCTCCTCGTTAGCCTCAACACTGAAAGCAGCTTTAAAAGGCCTGTACTGTTTGTACTGCCTCCACAATACGGGTTTAATTCCCACTGAGATATATAAAAATATGCGATGAGTTATTGGAAAGCAAAACAGACTCTCTGGTTTTGGAACAAGGCCGTGTCACAGTGAAGACGATGGATTCCTCCTCCATACATTATTCATCTCTGCTCCACCTGCCACACGAAGCCGATGATCTGCTTTGACAAAACTCAGTAACTGATGTGGATCAGAGCATCGAGGAGCACTTACAGCCCCAAACAAGGTGACATATTTGTTACTGATTGGCCCGGACTGAGCGGAACGGCATGTTTACTGTGTTTGACTTGTTTTTCAGAGCATCCTTCTCCTCGCCAAGCAGCTTCCTGGCAGCGCTCGCGGCGAAAACAGCCGCACTCGGAGCTGCACGACCCCTGATGTGAATGAGAAGGAGCTGGGCGCTGACGACAGAGTGTCAGCGGGGGGTTAAGCTGTGACCCAGATTCCTGCACGAGTCTTTGTCCTGGAGGAGAGAGAACATTCTCCTCATTCATGTGGCTGAGATGGGCCGGCTCGCTGACTGCTATGAGACAGTGAGGGAGACTCGGGTCAGCAGAGAAAGAACAAAGTGACGTTACACTGATGCATTAAGGATTCATCTGGAGATACATGCAGAGGATTTGCTCACCAGATATTTGTCTTTGTTGTGCTTCTCTCTGTGCACTACAGACCACATCTGGTTCTACAGAAGCTGGTGCTCCGTGAGCTTTACGAGGAATGGTTTTGGATTCCTTGTTGTTTTTATGTCTTCACTGTTTCTACTGACAGTGAAGAGAAAAACACTGATCATGTGTTGCAGTGGCACCTGCCAAGGTCTGGGTTATATCACACACTAACGTGTTGGAATCATGTTCTTCTGCACCAATGTGGACGACTGGGTGCATGTGTGTCGTCAACCTTTGGCAGAGTTGGCAGCAGGATGCATTGTGGGAGGAAGCTGAGCCGGTGGAGGCAGTGAGACGCTCTGGGAAACGTGGATGTTCTTTGAATGCAGCAGCGACCTAAACATTGCTTATTCCCCTCTTTCATAACGCTCGCTGCTGCACTGCTAACGTTGTTGTCTGAGGAACACAACGATGAGTTCAGGATGTCGACCTGACCTCCAAATTCTCCAGTCCACTGGGTTACTGTTAGTAAGGATGCCGGTGTCACCACAACAAGAGGAAA